GTGTCTCAGAAATGGGCTCGAGTTGATGATATGATGCAGAGTTGGAGCCTAATTAGGGTTCTAGGCTTTGGCGCTAGCGATCAAGCAAAGAAGACACACTAGAAGACACTGCGGGAATATCCAACTTCGAATCCCAGCCTTTCTTTTGCATCATAAACACTAAACCCTAAACCCTGAACCCTAAACCGTTAAACCCTAAATAAACCATAAATCCTGACAAGCTCCATCCGAGCACCGACACCCCAACAACGAAACCCTACACCTAAAAATTCAAAGCTCAACCCTAGGCCCCTAAACCCAAAGCCCTACAGACCACGGTTTTAGGGTTTAGGGTGTAGGCTAAAGCCCTACACCCTACACCCTACTTGGAGGTTCACGGGTAGGTATCTAGCTTACTTATAACTCCACTTATAACTACCCATGAACCTGCAAGTACAACCCTAAACCCTAAACCCCTGTAGCACCCAGGAACCCTTAAAGGAACCCTAAACCCCCTATAGAACCCTTACACCCCTAAAACTGAACCCTAACGCCTTGGCCCAGACTTTGAGATGGTTGGCAGTCAAGGGAAAAGGGTTTAGGTGGTCTGCACTTAAAGGGTTTAGGGGGGAGTTTACGCTTTAAGGGTTTAGGGTTAGCTAGGGTTTATAGGAGTTTACGGTCATAGGGGTTTAGGGTGTAGGGGTTTGGCTAGGGGATAGGGTGCTTTCAGGTTAAAAGGTTTAGGCTTCAAGGGTTTAGTCAGGGTTTGGGGTAGGGTTTCCGGTTTAGGGGTCAGATGGGGTTTAGGGGCTGTGGCTTCAGGGGTGTAGGGCTCAGGGTTTATACGCTTTTTTTTCGGGTTTTGAGGTTTCGGTTAAAGAGCTCAGGGTTTAAAGGGTTTGGCAGATGACGAGTTCAGGGTTTAGGGGTTTAGGGTTTAGGGTTCAGGGTTCAGGGTTCAGGGTTTAGGGTTTAGGGTTTAGGGTATAGTCAGGGACTAACGGTTTACGGTTAAAGAGTTCAGGGTTTACGGATTTAGGGCTTGTTCAAATTTAAAATTTAGGGTGTAGGGGTAAGTTAAGGCTCAAGCATTTCCGGGTTAACGGGTTAAGGGTTTAGGGGTTTAGGGAGGGTTCAAGGGTTTTGAGGTTACATAGGTATAAGGGCTTCGGGTCTAGGGGTTGAGGGTTGAGGGTGTAATAGGAGTTGGTCAGGGATTACGGGTTTGCGATTAAAGGCTTTCGAGGTTTAGTTGGGTGCTAGGGGGTTTTATGGGTTTAGGAGTTTACGCTTAAAGGGTTTTGGGTTGAAGGGTTTGGGGTTTAGTGTTTAAGGGTTCCGCAACCGATCGAAGGGCTACAAAGCTGGGATGAAGGCCAGGGATCCTTCTTCCTACCTTTTTGGGGTTTAGGGTTTAGGGGATCCGTTTTCCGACATTTTAGGGCTGAGGGTTTAGGGGATCCTTCTTCTTACCTTAGGGTTTAGGGGGTCCTTCTTCCTACCTAGCGTCATCCCAGCGGAGGGCCCTTGAAGGGAACCCCAGATTCGGGCCCGGAGTCACCTGGTTGAGTTTAGGGTTTAGGGTTTAGGGTTTATAGGGTTTAGGGTTTAGGGTTTAGGGTTTAACGTTGTAGGTACTGCATGGGTAGTTAGGTATCATCGGCGGGTTGGTTCGGGGGAAGCATGGCGGGGAGCGAGGACGTTCCTGGAGAAACGCTCCCCAAGGATGCTTGCACCCTGGTTCTTCCTCATGAAACCCACTATTCTCGGCCCGTAGCATGTAGCCATCATCCTCTGAACGGGGCTTGGGACTTAGGGTTTAGGGTTTAGGGCGATTGTATGACACCTCCTTTGCGATTTGAGCAAAGTCCTGCTGTTGCCTCGGTCGCTCCTGAGACACACTGCTTGAAGCGCCACCTCAAGGTCCCCGAGAACGAGATTCTTGCTGAAGCCCAGCCTAACTCCTAAACGCTATGATCCCGAAAAATCCCTGAATACCTGGACCCCGGAACCCTAAACCCCTGAACCCTAGAACCCTTAAACCAGAACTGCTAAATCTCACCAGCCTGGTGGCGGTTAGACTTCAAGACCGAACTAGACAACACCCAGTTTCTTAACCCTCAACCATACGGTTGAGGATATCCCATAATAAGGAATATACCATCATTTCCATAGTTTAGGGTCCTCAAGGTAATGCAGGATGTATATCATCAACAGTAGGTCTAGGGTTTAGGGTATAGGCACCCGAAACCCCAACTCCCAAATGCAGAAGCGAGCAAGAATGGACCTCGATCTTGGCCAAGATGCGGCAACCCAGCAAAAGTTGGGCCCTGCAAAATCAACAGCCGACAAACAAACCTTACTCCTAAACCCGAAACCCTTCACCCTAAACCCTGAACCCTGAATCCAAAGCCCTGAACCCTAAAAACCCCTGAACCCTAAAACCCCTACACCCCCTGAACCGTCTGACTGAAACATACAGGGAGGAAACCGAACCTGGGCAGCCCTAGCTTGAGGGCTACGTGGAGGTTCATGGGTAGTTATAAGTGGAGTTCTGGGGTTCCTGTAAGGGTTCCTTTAAAGGGTTCTATAGGTTTTAGGGTTTAGGAGGTAGTTTATAAGTGGTTATAAGTCGGGTAACTGTAATTATAACCCATATTAGGGGGACTTATAACCCTACTTATAACTAACCATAAACCTCCAAGTCGGGCAATTGTAATTATAACCCATATTAGGGACTTATAACCCCACTTATAACTACCCATGAACCTCCAAGTAGTTTGAGTGGCTCAGCACCCTGCCACGAACACTCCATGTCCCGTAGTTGCTTTTGCGTCTTGTAAGTGAGGCGTCTAAACAGCTCTTATATAGCTAGTTCAGGTTCAAAATGTAAACTGTATGGGTACATGGGCTCTTGCGGCCAAGAGTACATCATATCTGTCCAGAGAGCCCAGCCCAGTCCGTAACAAAGGACGACTCTGCGAAGCGAATGCCTAGATTGCATCTGGATCCCACATATAGCTCTATAATATGTACACATGTAATATGTATACATATAGAGGGTGTAATTCTCAGTTGAGAGGTATAGGCCGAACGCCGGTAGGGCCTGTTGTGAGGAACCACAAGCTTTATAGTGTCCGATGTGCCCAGGCTCTGCATTTTACTTGGAAAGTTTAGGGTTTAGGGTTTAGGGGTTTGGCGTTTAGGGTTTAGGGTTTAGGGGTTTAGGGTTTAGGGTTTAGGGATTTGGGGGTTTGGGGTTGAGAAGCCTGAACAAGTCGCGAGATCATTCAAAATATCCGTTATAATCCCAAATACAAGCGTGCTAGCCCCCCCAAAACCTTATTGAAACGATGAAGGCATTCACTCTAAACCCTCAACCGCAGAAACTCTCAACCCATGGTTCTGGCATGCCCTAGCCCCCGAGTTACCTACTATATCGGGTACTAGAGACCCTAAGGCCCTATACAGCAGGTACCTGGAGGGTTAGGGATGGGTATGCCCTAAACCTAAACCCTAAACCCTAAACCCTAAACCCTCAACCCTAAACCCTAAACCCTAACCCTAGGTTAGGGATGGGTATGCCCTAAACCTAAACCCTGAACCCTAAACCCTAAACCCTAAACCCTAAACCCTAAACCCTAAACCCTAGGTTAGGGATGGGTATGTACTGACTCCTGCTAGGTTGCGCCGGTCACCGTGCAGAGCGACTCTGAGGCGGACAGTTGCAACATGCGGGCCCTTCATGTACCTACCTTAAGAACCCAAAACCTACTTTTTTGTAGGGTCCCTATAAATCCCATATTAGGGTTTATAATGAGAACCTACAAAAACGGGGGTTTTGGGTTCTTAAGGTAAACCCCTAATAACCTACTCTGTTTAAGGACTTATATAAAGAAATCATCATGAGGAACCTTAACAAGGTAGGTTCTTCGGGGTCCAGGTAGGAGTTAGCGGAGTAGGGTTGGAGGCTGTGGAGACTTCATCACAAAACTTAGGGGCACCTTCTTTGGGGGTCATGAAATAGTTGGGGTTTGCAACTCGGGCCCCCTTTTTGTTCTGAAGCGCCATTGTGTCTCCAGGTTGTGTACGCTACCTTATGGGTAATATAGGGGTCTAATAGTTAGAACAGGGTTTTGGGGCCCACTATGCTATAACTATAATAAGGAGTCCCCAAAACCCGATTCTAAGCATTAAGGCCCCTACATTAGTTCTCTGGCTTCGGGATGGTTCCCTGTTGTGAGACTGACGATTCCCTTTCTTTCGGCATCTAGAAGAAGGTTGCAGGATCAGGGCTGAACTTGTAGCTTCATGTAGATACAGGGTTTACCTGGACCCCAAAGAACCTGCCTTTTTAGGGTTCCTTATTATAGTTTCTGTATATAAGTCTTTCAAGCTAGGTTATTTGGGGTTAAGGTAGGGTTTAGGGTTTAACATGAGGTCTGATGAATTTGCTTCGTCTGAACAACTAGTGGCAGCAGCCCAGTTTAAGTACCTGCATAATTTTACAAGTAGCATACCCCATAGCCCATGTCTGATGACCCTAAACCCTAAACCCTGAACCCCTAAACCCTAAACCTCTAAACCCTAAACCCGCCGCTACATTAGGGCAGGTCATGATAGGTGCTGGCACTGGGGGAGCGCCTACTTGAAGGTTCATGGGTAGCTATACGCGGTGCTGTAAGGCCCCCTCAGAAGGCTTCCGATAATACATATCAACTCTTATAGAACCCTTATAGTAAGCATCCCTTATAAAGGGATAGGTACCATGGAGCGTTAAGGCACGCTCCGAGCCCACCCCTGAACTCTAAAGCCTAAAACGTTAACCTGGGGCCTCAGAAAAGCACGTAAGCATAAATTAGGATAGGGATATCCCATATAAACCTCCCTATAATGAAGCCCAAAAAACTAAGGATATCCCCATCACATGCTTATGCTTATGTCCATTTTAGGTCCCTAACCGTAAACCCTAAGCCCTAATAACCGGCTAATAACCGGCCCCTGAGCATGCTGCAAGCTCAGAGCTCGATGGGACAGCCCATCATCGCACGGGCATCGCAGAGCGCGAGAAGCAGCTGCTCCCGCGACTTCATTTTCCTTGCAGTTTAGGGGTTTAGGGTTTAGGGTTTAGGGGTTTGGGGGTTTAGGGGTTTGGGGGTTTAGGGGTTGGGTTTAGGGCTTAGGGGTTTTAGGGTTTAGACTTCATTTTCCTTGCAGTTTAAGGCTTACTTGGAGCTTCATGGGTAGTTATAAGCGGGGTTATGGGGTTCCTTTAAGGGTTCCTTTAAAGGGTTCTACAGGGTTTAGGGTTTAGGGTTTAGGGGGTAGTTATAAGTGGGGTTATAAGTAGGGTAATTTAATTATAACCCATATTAGGGGACTTATAACCCTACTAAAAACTACCCATGAACCTCCAAGTAGGGGCGTAGAGCCTTGGGGTTTAGGGCTTTACAAGTCTAGGGTTCAGGAGTTCGGGCTCAGGGTTTAGTCTAGGGGCCTTGATAATTAGAGCATGGACTGGGGCTCCTTTATAGTATACTGATAATGAGGAACCCGATGTTCTTTGCGGTTCGGGGTTTAGAGTCGTTTAGGGCTCAGGGTCTCGGGGGTTCCCTTAAGGGTTCTCGTATGGGATCTATAGGGTTCTATAAGACTTCAAGGTAGAAGGTTTAGGGTTCAGGGTTTGGGATTTAAGCTTTCCCAAAGTACCTATACTAGTTTAAGGCCCAGGTATATACTATTTGGGTACATGAACTCTGAACCCTAAACCCTAAACCCAGAACCCTACCCTTGGGGTTTGGGAAGTTCTTGAGTTCGCTCAACTTTGGCCCCTTCGCTCACCACTTTTTAGCACGCTCGCTGGAAAGGGACAGTTTTTTTTCCCATGATTCGGGGTCTATACCCCTAAACTCTCAACCCTATACCCCAAACCCTAAACCCCAAACACATAAAAACCGGGAAGGCTTTCGTCACAGAACTCCAGGACTCACACCTTCAAGCCTCCTTTGGTATGCAGTGGCTGGGTATCTTAGGGTTTAGGGCCGTTTAGGGTTTAGGGTTTAGGGTTTAGGGTTTAGGGTTCAGGGTTTAGGGTTTAGGGTTTAGGGTTTAGGGTTTAGGGTTCAGGGTCTTAGGGTTCAGGAGAACTCCATAGCGTACACATAGATCCAAAACGCCAGACCATACCAGAAACCGAGCATAGTGGCAACTGGGCTGCAAGGGTACCATCAGGCAGAGTGACAGAACCTTTCGCAGATAAACCCTGAACACTAAACCCTAAACCCTAGACCCTAAACGCTAAACCCTCAGCCGAGTGACAGAACCTTTCGCAGATAAACCCTAAACACTAAACCCTAGACCCTAGACCCTAAACCCTAAACTCTAAACCGAGTGACAGAACCTTTCGCAGATCTCCCAGAAGGCGATGGCGCAATAGCACCTACCAAGATCTTGGCGGCTTTAGGGTTTAGGGTTTTTGGGGCTTAGGGTTTAGGGTTTAGGATTTAGGGCTTAGGATTTAGGGTTTGGGGGGTTTAGGGTTTGGGGCTTAGGGTTTAGGGACCGCAAATCCTGCCTTTAACACCGGTCCCTTTCCCCTAGACCCTAAGCCCTAAACCCTCTCAAAGATCCTAAAAACGCTTGATGAAGCACTCTTGACAGCTGGGCCTATGACAGATTCCAAACACCCTAACCATGCAACGGCCTCAACAGTTAGAATAGGGTTTTGAGGTATGTTGTACTATGATTATAGTAAGGAACCACCAAAAAGAGTAATAGGAAACTATTAAGGCCCTTATATGACTCAAGGTTGACTTCTTAATTAAGCTCTGCAGCCCCTCCTCAACCCTAAACCCTAAATCCCAAACCCTAAACCGCTAAACCCCTAAACCCTAAACCCCAAACCCTAAACCCCCCTTTAAAGCCGGAGAGCCCTAAAGGGCAGCCTCACGGGGCGACGCGCGGAGGAGGTGTTCCACAAGGCTGCGTTTGCTGAGCTCATCCTCCTTCGGGTTTAGGGTTTTAGGGTCTAGGGTGTAGGAGTTTAGGGTTTAGGAGTTTAGGGTTTAGGAGTTTAGGGTTTAGGAGTTTAGGGTTTAGGAGTTTAGGGTTTAGGAGTTTAGGGTTCAGGAGTTTAATTTGGGATTTAAGGTAATGATCGTAAATCTCGAAACCCTGAACCCTTTCATAGCTCTGAACCAAACCAAACACCCTACTTCATGGCCTAAGCTTGCCTTGGACCCCAAAACCAAAAGGGTTTAGGGTTTAGGGTTTAGGGGTTTAGGGTTTTAGGGTTTTAGGGTTTAGGGTTTAGGGTTTAGGGTTTGATTCTGTAATGTTCTAGGTTGTGGCTGCGCCTGACATTGAAAACGCAGTACAATGACAGGATCCTTGTACGCTACAGCTCTCTATGCTCGATGCCCAGCAGCGGTGTAGTATGCCGGCTCAGCGTGCTAAACTGATCTCTCGGCGGAGATTGCAAAGCTATGATATTATAGGCTGAGGGCTTGCCCGCATTCTAGTGGAAGCTTGTCGCCTATGCTGGATGACCCTAAACCCTAAACCCTAAACCCTAAACCCCTAAACCCTAAACCCTAAACCCTAAACCCTAAACCGACTCTCTGCGGCCAATCCTGGCCCAATGATAACGGACGGTCACGTGGCAATGGGCTCTCATGAGTGTCCCAGGAGCCACGCGGCAGTTCCGTCTCATAGCGAAAGTGCCTCAGGGTTTAGGGTTTAGGGTTTAGGGTTTAGGGTTTAGGGTTTAGGGTGAAGTGGAGCAGAACAACACGACATGTGGAAGGCTAAGTGGGACCCTCAACCCTAAACCCGGGACTCTAAATCCTAAATCGCTTTTAGCTCGAAGCCCCAAAATGAGGCTGTTGCGACTATAAAAGTTCGCAGTTGCAGCCGACAACACCTGAAACACTCTGACAACTAAACCATGGAAACCAGAATCCCTAAATCGGCATCGCTGTGTAGCGTTTAGGGTTTAAGGTTTAGGAGGATGGAGGGATCGTATTAAGAGGCCTCCGCCTATTGAATTGCGACGACTGTGCAAGACCGGCAGTGACGACCATGGATCGGGTAAGACAAGGCTGCGGAAGACGTTTACTATAGGGGCCTTAATGACTAGAATGGGGTTTTTGGGCGCTATATACTTCATTGATAAGGAACCCTAACGAATATTATTGGTAATTATTTAGGGTTCTCTATTGAGCTACTGTCCTGGGTGCCCTTCTGCACCCGCGAAGCCTGAAACTTGAAGCCCGAAACCTTCAAAGGTCCAAAGCCCCACACCGTTAACCATGACCCTGAAAACCCTGAAGCCGCGCACCCTTGGTCTAAACCCTAAAAGCTCTAATCTAAACCCTAAACCCTAAACCCCAAACCCCTAAACCCCTAAACCCTAAACACTAAACCCTGAAACTCCAAACCCTCACAGCCAAGCCCTGCACCCTGGACCCGAAAACCTAAACCCTACCTGTAGCCGAAAAGACCTACCTTTTTAGGGATCCTTCTCATGGTTTCTATATAAAAAATGATCCTTAAAAAAGGTAGGTCTTTTGGGCCACAGGTAAACCCTAAACCCCCTAAACCCTACAACCCCTACAGCGAACCCAGAAAGTTGGACGATGAATGTAGGATAACCAGTGCTAGGACCCCTTATATTTTACCTCAAGGGTACCAGGAGCATGACCTATGACCCTAAACCCTAAACACTAAACCCTAAACCCTAAACCCTGGGTTTAGGTTTCAGCATCTCTCTGGCTTCTACTGTAAATCCTAACCCCTATAACCCCTAAACTCCTAAACCCTAAACCCTTATAAACCCTAAACCCTACACCCTAAACCCTAAACCCAAACACCAAGCGGCAGACTAAAAATGGTAAACGATGACCTGAACCCTGAGCCCAAGCCCGACGCCAAAACTCGAAACCCTAAGCCCCGTTCAGTCCCTTCGTCTTGCCGCGCAACGGCTGTCTTGGAACTTAGTCAAGGGGACGATTGTATCGGTATTTACAGTGTTTTAGCGGTTTGCGAAACAGCAAAACCAGTCTTATCCCAAGTCAATTTTTTAAAAAATTAAGACTAAGTTGCAACCCTCTCGAGCGAAACGGGTTTCGGATTTATTGTTGGCACATGGATGCTCTGTGGGAACGGATGGAGTTTCTGGTAACGTTATCATGGTTGGCACATGGATGCTCTGTGGGAACGGATGGAGTTTGTGGGAACGTTATCATGGTTGGCACATGGATGCTCTGTGGGAACGGGTGGAGTTTTGTGGGAATGTTATCATGGTTGGCACATTGATGCTCTGTGGGAACGGATGGAGTTTGTGGGAACGTTATCATGGTTGGCACATGGATGCTCTGTGGGAACGGATGGAGTTTGTGGGAACGTTATCATGGTTGGCACATGGATGCTCTGTGGGAACGGATGGAGTTTGTGGGAACGTTATCATGGTTGGCACATGGATGCTCTGTG